CTTCATAATCATTTTAATACAATGTATTCAACTTATATATATGAGAGACGTTATGTGTAATGCTCTCTAGAGAGTTCCACAGATATAGAAGGTCAGTCCAATGTAATGCAAAATACAATCATGCAATTCTTTTCCTAATATACCCTGGGTGATATAAATCATTCATCATCTTCCCCAAATTTGAGAGGAGACAGATACATTTGTATGAAGAACTATGTAGAAAATAAATTCGAAAGTAAAGCTTTAAACGCAACAGCAAGTTGCCATTGTTTTCTCTGATGGTGCATTAAGAAGTTTACATCCTGTTTCATATTGCTTCTGGTGGTGCAATAAGAAGTTTACAAACTGTTTCATAGTGTTTCTGGTGGTGCAATAAGAAGTTTGCAATCTGTTTCATAGTGTTTCTGGTGGTGCAATAAGAAGTTTACAAACTGTTTCATAGTGTTTCTGGTGGTGCAATAAGAAGTTTGCAATCTGTTGCATAGTTTTTCTGGTGGTGCAATAAGAAGTTTACTTCGAAATAGTTGTAGTTCCTGATGATGTCGATAGTTAGTTAATTTCAATTTCTGATTGAAACAGTATTTGTGAAAAACTAAGTAAATTAGACAGGAATGTCTGACTAACAAGAATATGGCCAATATCAGGGTGTATGACCTCAGGTCAAGTTTGTGAATGAGAAAATGAGAATGAACACCAGCAAGCAATCTTGGTAAATCTATAAACTTGACTAGTGTGTTTACTTCCTTAGCTTTCTCCTGCCTAGATAACTTGTGCATGTTGCGAGGTAATGTCGGTTTAATCCAAATACTCGTACGCGTCCTTCGTTTTTATGCAAAATCCAGCGTGCACCTACATCAGACATATGCTGCAGACGTTTGTAAACAATGCACCTGATGGAGTAGTTAATACAATATAACGGAAAAGGAACATGTGGTTTTAGAATTACAGAAAAAAATTACACTATTTAAACCAAACAGTTGCAAAACAGAAACAAATATACACACACACACACACACATTTGTTTTGGCACAACACGAACATGAACATCTTCAATACTATTTTGTTTATGGCAAAGCTTCTGTCGCCGTCCCTAATTTTGAACTGATGATATGAGGGAAGGCAACTAGCAGGTAGCATGCAACCACCGAAAACTCTTGGGATACTCTTTCATCAACGAATAGTGGGATTGACCTTCATATTACAATGCCCCCAACGGCTGAAATGGGCGAGCATGTTGGATATCGGTTTTCGATCCCGCGACCTACAGATTGCGAGTCGAGCATCTTTATCACTAGGCTACCTTAAATGCACAACTTGGACAGAAACATTGCATTCGTAAATGAACCCAAATCGGCTGACAATGTCTTGCCACAACATAAACCAACTAGGTCCATATGTTTTTGTCAATTTGTATCAATAAAGATACTTATGAAATAATTCGAATTTTTAGCATTTCTAAGAACCCACGGGTGAAAGCAAAGGAAAGTATGTTATAATATGTAAACCATACTACATCTGCAATATCCGGTGCCGACGAGGCCTTTCGCCCAATACCAGAGCTTATGAGGCCTACTGGGATACGACAGGCGTAGTAGGACATGGGAGTTCGTTCATTCGTCGAGATGAAATGCTTAGTCCGAGGGAGTACTTATAATGGTAAAGTTTGGAGTTCAATCCTTTCGTTGGGTACAGCACCAATATACCATTCTTTAGTTCTGCGATAAAAAAACAACAAACAGCGACCAAAAAAAAAACCCCACAGTTCATGAATATATTTCCTTCACCATTTTTCACAAAGGAAATGTCTACGTATCCAAATTACCATGAATGAATTACATTTGTGCAAATACTTACTAGTAAATCTGAATGATAATGGTAATCATTAATGATATTTCAATGAGTTTGAACGACTCCTTCACTTTATAGTATTGAACAGACGCTAAACCTGAGCCAAATCTAACAAAGACAAAATTTAAACCAAACTTTCATGACTCTAACGTACGGTGTTACGCGGATGAACGTTACAGCGTGCAACCCCCAAAAAAAATAAAAAATAAAAAAAAAAGAAGAAAAGACACGAACATTTTTGAAACAGGGAGAAATAAAATTCCATAGCTGTTATACTGGTTGTATCTATCTCGATTAAAGCACATCGTGCAAAAGCTTTGTGTAGACTCATTTATACATCACGAACCATTAGCGTAATATGTAACTACTGTTCTGTAGTGTTAAGTTATATCTTTCACACAACCAACTCTAATACAAGACATTAAATGTTAATGAAATGAGGGTAAATAAATAATACAGAAGTTTTGTACGACTTGAACCAACGTTAAATACGAATTAATTAATCATAGTATGGCTTATATGTAGAATTCTCGTTTGTTATTTCCATACAGATGTTAAAAATTTTCACGAAACTTGTTATTTGGGGGATGAACCAACCCTTTAATGCCATTATTTCAGGGTAGTCATCTATTTAAGTGGTCTTTATAACCATCCACATACTTTATTTAATATTCCCTTTTTTACCGTTTCTAATCCACTGACTGTTCAAAATCTTAACAACTGAGAAGAATATTCCTAATATATTTTTAGGTTTCTTTCTATTTCCATTAGTCCGAAAGACCAATATATATGAGATAGAGTATACTTACTGTATCGCGCGCGCGTGATAATCTGGCCTAGCAACAAGTGAATAACAACATTGTCGTTCTACCGCCACTTGTGAGCTTGGCCACTAGTTAATTTTGCAAACCCTCTGGGCGGGGAACATAGCAGTAGACTTGCAGGCGCGTTGGATAGTGTCGTGTTTCCAACGGTCTAAAATATGCCTTGCTTTTTTAAAAATATTTTCTTAGTTCAAACATAGTATGAGAAGTCACTCACCACCTCATAAAACGTTAAGTTCAACTTCGTTTTTATTATTACAATTGCTAATTAACTTAACTATTGAAGTCCGATGAATCTGTGCATTAACTCATAGTTAATCGCTGAATCTTTTCCTATTCCTTCTCAAGAACTTGATTTATACAGTAATAAAAGTGAAAAAAGAAAAGGAAAAAACCCTGCCAGACTTTGGTTTTACTAGTCACTGACAATGGCATTTTTGTATCTGTTATCATCTATGATACTTTTTATCTACACTAAGCTCACGGTGTCATAGCAACGAAGTTTTTGTTTTTTTACTAATTAATGATTGCTATAATACACTGTTGATACATCGAGTTAATTTGGCAGTTCTAAAATATATCATCAGAAAGGGTAAAATAATACAGAATACACATTAAAATATTTTCTAAAGTTTTTTTATTAAAAAATATCATAATTTTTGTGAAGAAATTTTAATGTCAAGGTAGAACTTCATATAATAATATTTAAGTAGTATAAATTCTATCCAGTGCCGACGAGGCCTCTCGCCCAGTGATAAGGCTTACCAGGTTGGCTAGGATATGCTTAGTTTCATGAACCAATGTTATGGTGTAAACTACATTAAGTAAGTGTAATATAATTATTATCACTTTTATTTACGATAATTTACTTGTAACCACGATACGAGATTATAAATTATTATTTTTCTACATTTTATTATTTGCCTAATAACGATAAAAATGCTTTGCTGACTATCAAATATAACACAGAGCGAAACGGTAACAAGAGATTAGCCATGTAACAAGGTTTGTGGATTTAGGTTTATATCTATAAGTGAACGAAAGTGTATATTAATTAATATAGTTAATTATGGAGAGATGTATCCAGCACTTTTTATCCATTCTTTGTTGCTGTGTGTGTGTGTGGAACAGGCAGTGTCAGCTGTTGTAGAGTGTATACACCGCTTTACAATTGCCGTCGTCCTCTGCACGACTGCACAGGCTAACTATGCATTATACATTTTGGGTCAGGGCTCCAGTTTAGTTAGGAGTATATGCGTATGTTTATAGTGACACTGACCTAATTTTCGCTTCTCTTCCCAATCATTTATGACAGTCGTTTTAATTACGATATTTTATACACACCCATTTGCTTATTCATGATTGCATTCAAATTTTAAATAGTTCAAAATACCTTTATCAACTTTACGTGCGTTGACCATACGTTAACTTTCATTATTTTTACCCGAGTTTGAGTTGTATTGTTGATTTGAACACAGTTCTACGTTTTACTAGTAATAATTTGTTCCCTTCCACAAGTTATCTATTGCAAGATAATTTTCTCATTTCATCTTCAGTCATTAAAAAAAAATTAGGCACAATTCCGAATTGAAAATATCACGGTTAATAATTGTTTGTACCCATTGATGTTGACAGAATTCGTTTATTATGAAGGTAATAAGTTGGTGAGAAAAAAAACAAAAAACAAACAGTACTGTATTTAATCCATTTTGGAAATTACTGCTACGATTATTGGTTAAATATAAGTGTATTATACTACTTCTATTTAATGCATTAGCTCGTATAGTCTCATATGGGTTTTATCTTTTGTGCATTCACCCAAAGTTTTCTACATTTTCAAACAATATGATACTGAAACTCTTATTAAACTTCCCTACCAAACATGCTCGCCCTTTCAGCCATGGGGGCGTTATAAGGTGACGTTCAATCCCATTATTCGTTTGTAAAAGAGTAGCCAAAGAGTTGGCGGTGATGACTAGCTGCCTTCCCTCTAGTCTCTCACTGCTAAATTAAGGACGGCTAACGCAGATAATCCTCGTGTAGCTTTGCGCGAAATTCAAAACAAACCAAAGAAACAAACTTATTAAATTTAAAGTGTGTTTGTGTGTGTGATATTTCACTAACTTGTTATATCGCTAAGTTAAACTGTTGTTCCGAGAATTTTAAAACTTTTTTTTCGGATTTTGAGGCAAACCTAATATTATATATGAAAAGTAAGCTAGAACATGCATTAACGTGTAAATACATATATATATGAAAGGTGATTTTAAAAATTATATTTTATATGACATATGGATATTGTTAAAATCAAGAGAAATGAGACACATATTAAAATAAGTTCATGTTTAATTTTTTGGTCAGCATCTGAATACAGATACAAAACTTATATATTTTACAGCCTCACACTTATCTAAACTATAATAATATCTTAAATAATTCCAGATTGGTCCGCGTAACCAGTTATGGAATATTTGAACTTTTTTAAGACTTAAGGCACTTCATTATGCACCATTTATTTAAAGGTTTCATCAATTTTATTTCCCTCAATACAAAATTATTATAATTAAACATTATGTCAAATCCGCCTTATTTAATGTAAATATATATAAAACATATCAGTAATAATTATCCGTGGACGACTGCTTTTGTATGATAAGGACAAAGGGAAGTCTTAAACACTGGGGGTGTCTTTGGCAGCCTCCGTTTTTACTCTGGAAAATGTTTATATTACAGAATTGCATCAAAAATGCTTAGGCTTTTATTCGCCAACTTAAATATGGGCATCAAACGTCTTTTATAAGTTTACGTATGACAATTTAAAAATAAATAAGTTATTTAAATACATGGTACAAAAGTTTCAAACATAGTACTTTGTTTCCACATTCGTCAAAACACAAAATAAAACGAAATCTACGTTTTAATTCACAGATTGAAACTAAGATAACATCTTAGCTGTCTAACAAGGAAAGGTGCCAGAACACCTAGCCACATATAATACTCAAAGCTCGTAAGATTTAGAAGTGACTTACAATCATCAAAGTAATCATTCATCTTTTGTTCAAATAGCTTATATTTTAAGCAATACAATGACCTAGTTTACAATGCAATTACAATAAATACACATTTAATAAGTAAGACATAAAAAATATATGCTTAAACTTGGCCAAAATTCAAACTCAACACAAACACTCATGCAATAAAAATATAATTTTCACACATTATGATACTTGTTTGTTAAACAACCTTGAAGCTTTTAGGGTTAACCAAGAGCAAGCCTTGCGTTGATCCCAAAGAAACGTTTTTGGGCGAAAGTTATTCCTTTCAATCGAAATTAGCCAAACTGCTGAAAATTGGGAGGCGAAAAAGCGTACGATTAACATCCAATGGGGAACTGCAAGTAGCCATCCCGGGACTACTAGCCAGGCTCAGCCCGTCCAGCTCCGAGGTGATAGAATCCACTGGCGACGGTGGGGCTGGGGGAACGACGGAGTACAGCTGTTCACGAACAGTAGAATCCATTATTTCGCTATTAGGACTTGTCAGGCCTCTCCTTGCAAACACAGCAGGTGTCGTAACGGGCTGAGATCCTCCGAAAGGTGATAGGTGAGCTTGCTGTTGCAAAGTTGACATAAGTGACGTAAAGTCCTGAGAAAATGAAAAAGCCGTGTTACTATTAGATAAGGGATTGGACTGAAAAGTCGGAGAGAAGTTGCCGAAAGTATCATCATTAAAAAAGCTGTTGAGAGAAGTCGGGCTTCCGCTCATACTGGACGGTGGCGAGGAGTCTCCAGCCGAATCTAGACTGAAACTACCGAGGGACAGTGCCTTTGGTCTAGAAGTGACACCTTGATCAGTCGAAGGACATTCGTTTAGATTGAATGTATTCATACCAACTTGCAGGTTACTGAACAGGCTTTTTCTTGTCTCCTCACTGTAATGTATGAAGTGGCACCTGGAACCATAAGGACACAATCCGGTCGTGTGGAATGTACGACACAACTCTGTTTTGTACTTAGGATGTCGCGATAGCGTACGAAGCTCGTGATTTCCATGGGCAAATTGACATTTGTCACCATACTTGCAAGTCCCGTTTTCTTCAAATGGCCGACACAGTTCAGTCTTATAACGACTCGAATTCGTCTGATTAGACTTGGCTTGGGCATTGCTCCTTTCTACAGGGTCACTAAATGTCCGGTCAAGTTTCCGGAGTTCTCGCCCACCACTAGACAGGTTGAAAATATTGTTGGAAGTACACACGTTCGGTATAGAATTACTACAGACTGGCAATGCGGGAGAGCCTGGTTTTTGATGCATGCCGATTGATTTGGGCGACGGTGGGCTGATGTTGACACTTGTTAAATGATTGGCAGAATTTCTTCTAAAGCTCTGAAAGTTAAAGATTGTGGATGGACTGATCGGCCTCCTGTCCAGCGGGAAGTCTGTTTTGTTGGTGTTTATAATGTTGGGTTTCTGGAAATTGCAAAAGTATAGCTGTTAAATTACACTGTTTATAGTAAAGCTGTTAAATTACACTGTTTATAGTAGAGATGATGTATAAAAATAGAGCTACAAAAATTGCTTGGTTGTTACAAATCTGTAGTTGCAACGTTTGAGATGTTGCCATAAGATCAAATGACTTAAATACATTCCAATTTCTATGCTACGCTAACGTCGTGACCTAGATAAGTGCTTATTAGATTGGATGACCTTAAAACCGGTCGTTTACGGCTGCTCCATAATTTAAACAGGTAATAAATAAACAAAAGATGTAGAAATTCTGAGTAACTCTTACCTTGTATAAAATATCGCTGTAATCGTAGAGAGTCGTTACCATAGCTGTGGACATATCGTACTCGCTCCACGACTAGGCAACTAAACATATATTTTCTGAAGCAGCTTCCGAACCTTTTCTATCTGTTCGAGGAGTATGAACGGTGATGACGTAAAAAGTAGGCGGTATCATACGCTCGTTTGTCCAATGAAAGAAGGCACTTTTATTACGTGTTGCACGCAGGATCAGACAACGCGTACTGATGCTTTGATTCAGAGTTATTTCGTTAGGCAATGTGTTAACAGTCGTTTGTGTGTGTGTGTGTGTGTGTTATGTGCGTGAGTGAGTGTGGACGCTCAATATCGGACGTTTTGAGGTGGCTCATAATAAAGCATGGTGGAAATGCGCTGCGTGCTGTGTTATAAAACGCATGGTTTACTATGAAGATATACTAACCACACATCTTGATTGATGCTCATAACAAGTTTTTATTACTTGAACAATGTTATTTTTTTTAATCTCGAAAGAAATCATGAAAACTTCAACTCTATCGCTGTTACTCCAAACACAAATCTTTCTTTTTTTTTAGTATTGTTGTAAAACGTTTTCTGGTAAAAGTTTCACATTAGGACTGTTTTTAATGATTACGTACTACTTATGTGGTTGCTAAATTTTCTATCTCTTTTTGATGTTGTAAAACAAGGTTTGTTTGTTGTTAAACGCAAAGCTGCCAAATGGGCTATCGAATTTTAGTGTTATAAGCCCTCAGACTTGCCACCTGCTGGGGGAGGCTGTGTGTGTGTGTGTGCTAAAATAAATGTGAAATGTGTTTAAGACTAAATATCTGTCTTATGGGGTTATCGTTCATTCCAAGATTGGAAATGGTTTATTTTTACCAAACTTACTAGAAGTTTGTTGTGTGCAACGGCAACAACTATCGCATTAGAAGGAGAAGCTACATTCGTTATTTTTTTCCTTACGTGATTTGGGTTTTCGACGTAACGCGTGGTGGAGTTGTAAAATTCAAAACTCGTTAAATGTTGTTAGTAAAACACTTAGTTTTATCCCTTGAATCATACTTTATACCCCATCTTGTAATCACGAGAACATTCGTTGGCTTAAATGTTGTTAGTAAAAAATGTTGTTAGTAAAACACTTAGTTTTATCCCTTGAATCATACTTTATACCCCATCTTGTAATCACGAGAACATTCGTTGGCTTGAATGTATCGTACATCAGCTGCTTGAAACTAATATGAATGCTTTTCCCGCCTTTTCTCTGGGAGGAGCACTTTGACAATTATGAGGAGAGAAAGTGTAGTTGTGGCAATCGTACCGTTAGCTGTAACGCATTGTTAGGTCTTGTTGCGTGCACTTGTGATTCGTTCGCTCACTAGAACTGAAAAGCTTGGTCAGTGAAGGAAGTTCGGTTAAAATATTTCTCCCAATGATTCTTTCGTATGACGTTAGAACTGATTTCAAGAAGGAGAGTTTGCTGTTGGTCAGTGAAGGAAGTTCGGTTAAAATATTTCTACCAATGATTCTTTCGTATGACGTTAGAACTGATTTCAAGAAGGAGAGTTTTGCTGTTGGATGAAAATTAAATAATCATCCGTAATACGTATACGATATTAAATTATAATAAAATTGATCATAATTTTTAAAACACGTCATTATTCGCTTAAGCAAATAGAGCAGAATGAAATTTGTATTCGGTTCATTTGTAACAAAATTCAGCCAGAAATTCTTCACAAGAATAGTTGTGAGCAATAAGATCTGTAGCCCAAGTATTTCGCGAGGTTTGTTTATGTGTGTTTGCTAAGCACACTTTGTTCCAGTAACGTATCAGTGTGGAAAGTACGATATTACTCTGTTTTTAAAACGTTTAGTCATTGTGCATTGTTAAGTGCACGATTCCTATACTCATTTCCGAATAGCACATCAGCGTGGAGAGTATATTATTACCGTTTGTAAAAGCTTTTGTTTACTGAACATCGATTACCAACAACGCATATCATGCAAGACGAGTAAGTTTTCGAAAAGCCACGTGTGCCGCCTCTCTGGTAACATTAGAACTGATAAACGCACGATTTTCAAACTTAGCTGATGAAATTCCATTTCTAACTGACATAACTCAGGTTGTAGACGCAATTACTTTTAAATGTTCACGTTTGACGTTTTTATCCGAGTGACAGCATTGGTCATTTTAACAACTAATGTTTTTCTTATATGTCATATGGTGCAACGTGTGACAATATTGAGCATTTCATCAACACATTTCTTTCTTATGTGTCGGGTGGTTGGTGGATGATTAGTACAATATGTAACAATACTGATAATTTCATCACCTTGTTTCTTTTATATCATATGATAGGCAAATGATTGGTATAGTATTTGACAGTATTAACCATTTAATTTTCATGTTCTATATAATAGGTGTATGACTGGTACAGTATTTTCAAAGCTGTTGTAACTATCTATATAATTAAAATAGTAACACGTGTGTTTGTTTAAACTGTGCAAAAATGAAATTCGGAGTAGGAAAGTACCGACGACGTCACCACATGCGTAAGATGGTACTATGCATTCCAAAGAGAAAGGTATTTGGGAGATAGATCTGTCAAAGCCCCATCTCAGACAGCAGTGTTCATGTGTTCAGATTTTATGTGTGAATTTCTTCATTTGTTTATAGACACCTAGAGTACAGGTACCATAACTCTGTTGAGTTTTAATACTTGCCCCTTATACCCAGGTTTTGGAAGCTCGCTAGATCTGGTGTCTTTTACTAGGTAAGTCGATTGGTTTGTCATTTTTGATCACACCATTCGGCTCAAAGTGTCTTTAGTATTAGAAATGTTTGGTGGGAATCACATGTTGTGGAACAGGTTTAATCCACTTCGGTTTAACCTCGCAGACATTGAGACACCCCGCACGGCCATCAGATTCTTTCAGGACTACTTACCTAACCTCATACGTCAGTAGTCTATGCAGGTCACGTAACAGTTTTAATTATTTTAAAAACACAGCAGTATCTTTACATTTTATAAAATTTGGATATTCAAAAACAAAATACCACAAACAAAAATGTGTTTTATACTCGAAGCACGAGTTTTTAAACCTAAGAGGTCTATTTGTAAAGCAAACTGGTACAACAATAAGCTGTTTTAGAGGTTAAGATTTGAAAAGAGTTAGTCAGGATGTCTATAGACTTTCTAGAGATGATGTAGGTCGAAACTGCATTACTTAGCTGATCGAGATATGGGTTTTGTATCTAATATGAGCCAATATATATTTTGTATTTCAAATTAAGAATATGTTTCCACTCAGCTAGGTATATGACAGAGAAATAATGTTCACACGCCTTTAGCTGTGGGAATGTATTTGGTGTAGGTTTTCTTTATCTAAGCTCATTTCTTTATTATCTCATAGCGAGTGAGACTTTAAAGTTGCTTTGATTATTTGGAGGCTATTTAAACATTTCGTTTACACTTAGCACTTGGATTCTGCTCTCCTTGTGGTAATATAGTTGGAAATCTGAACCATATTAATTCGTATTGAATAACAAATCCATGACGTGATACGATAAACATAACTTCACAGCTTTTTTTTGTTGTTGTTATAATCGTGAGAATATACGACAACAAATTGCTTTTGGAGGAAATTTCATTAAGTATTTTTTTAACAGCAAACCAAAATCACATAATTATATGATATGTCTTGTTAATGATATTGTAAGCTCACGAAATCATTAAGTAATTTAAAGACATCATTTTAATATGAAGTTCACTATAATTCTGAAAAAAAAAGATACATATTATTTCATTCTAGGTATAACAAAAACTTGGTGCGTGAGAGCCGTTTGAAAGGACAATAAACAAGCAAGTGCAAGCAGTTTAAATTAACAGTACCAGTGTACTGAATAAACGTAGACAAAATTCACCCAAAAAGAAAAATAATCTAATTTTAATTTTTACAACCCATTAACGAATGATTTTGATTAAAAAACATTGTTTAGTTTTTGAAATGCAACGTCCTCATTCTCCAATTATATATGCTCAACTTTAGTATAATTTTTATTAGCTGCATACTTCCTGCGAAGGCGCTGGCATCTGGTGTTTCATAGGTAAACTAATTCCTCCAACTAATGCTTTAAAGCCACGAGACTATGAGGTTAAGAATAATGACCGGCTTGCTGAAGTTATTTACATTTAAGCTTCTACGTGCATAAGAAAAAAGTGAAAAGAAAAGGAAAAATCTCCAAGTCTATGTCTTAAATTTATTGAATGCAAGATCTGTTAAGAAACTCACCGAATTCTGTGTATATAACATGTCAGACCAAAATGTAACAAATAAAGCCGCTGTTAAAATCGCTGTTGTCTCTTTGTTAGCCAGGCTTTTTTGTGTGTCATTCTGTCAGCCTGCGACTTTGTTTATCATTAGAGATCTTAACATGATTATATACTGCATTAGTTTTGTTGAAGCCTATATATATAATATTTATATATCCTTGCTAATATCAAGTTGGCTTTCAGGTTTTCACTCGTTGATTGAAGTTTACCTAATCAATATGTTTGTGTTTTCGTAACATATGCATAGTTTCGTGAATGTTGCCTGTTTTGTTAAAGAACTCTACAATTTCGTTTAGCATAAAAAATATTTTTCCGATGAATTTTATTAACAAAAGGTAGACATGTGTATCATTTAGTTCAGAAATTTTCAGTAAATGAGAAAAATAAAAAAAATACTATCACATTCTTTTATATGAGCACATTTTGTGACATGATAAAGTCTACGGTGGCTCAGCAATAGGTCTGGGGCTTATAACGCTAAAAATCGAGTTTCGATACCTGAGATGTGCATAGCACAGATAGCCAGTCCTATTATGTAGCTTTCCTCTTAACCATAAACAAACACCCTAAACAGACGGGTGTGGCGACATCTATTACCAATTTTTAAAAGCGTACTACTTACTCTATATGCTTACAGAACTTAAGTCTTAGGTAAGAACTAAATATGTATAACATTAACTTAGTTTAATAGTTACATAAACTTTGTAATTAGTTTTACTACCAATCTTACAGTAGTCGCAACATGTCTAGATACCGTATAGGGAGAACGACATAATTATTCGAAC